TTATCAGAAAATGTTTCTCACACCTCGATATTCATGCGCATGCGCAATACTACTGCGCCCCATCGCCATATTACTTCCTGGCATCGCCTAACATCGCTCATAATTAACTAAATGCCGTCACGAATAAATATATATTGAAAACGTCTAATACTCTGATGGGCAAACGCATTAATAAAGCAAAACAACCTTCGTTGTAAAAAGAAGGAAATGATTACCTTATGCAGGACGGCCCCTCTCCCTAATGCATTTCCTACGGAAGCCTCCATAGTCCAAACAATTAAAAATCAAAATTGCGCAAAAAGTCTGCGCATGTGCATAGAAGACGGTAAATGTTAAACCAGTATAAATAGACCTTAATATTAGTAGACAAAATATTAAAGGAACAGTAATGTAACCGTGTAAGCGTGCAGAAGCCGAACACAGCGAGATGGACACAGGTATTCAGGAAGTAAGAGGCCTTTTTTCACATTACCGATCGGGTCTCAGATGAACTCCTGTTCCAAAATTCTGAGCACTGAATACATAGAAACATAGAAACATAGAATGTGACAGCAGATAAGAACCATTCGGCCCATCTAGTCTGCCCAATTTTCTAAATACTTTCATTAGTCCCTAGCCCTATCTTATAGTTAGGATAGCCTTATGCCTATCCCACGCATGCTTAAACTCCTTTACTGTGTTACCCTCTACCACTTCAGCTGGAAGGCTATTCCATGTATCCACTACCCTCTCAGTAAAGTAATACTTCCTGATATTATTTTTAAACCTTTGTCCCTCTAATTTAAGACTATGTCCTCTTGTTGTGGTAGTTTTTCTTCTTTTAAATATAGTCTCCTCCTTTACTGTGTTGATTCCCTTTATGTATTTAAATGTTTCTATCATATCCCCCCTGTCTCGTCTTTCCTCCAAGCTATACATGTTAAGATCCTTTAACCTTTCCTGGTAAGTTTTATCCCGCAATCCATGAACCAGTTTAGTAGCCCTTCTCTGAACCCTCTCTAAGGTATCAATATCCTTCTGAAGATACGGTCTCCGGTACTGCGTACAATACTCCAAGTGAGGTCTCACCAGTGTTCTGTACAATGGCATGAGCACTTCCCTCTTTCTACTGCTAATACCTCTCCCTATACAGCCAAGCATTCTGCTAGCATTTCCTGCTGCTCTATTACCTTGTCTGCCTACCTTTAAGTCATCAGAAATAATCACCCCTAAATCCCTTTCCTCATATGTTGAGGTTAGGACTCTATCAAATATTCTGTACTCTGCCCTTGGGTTTTTACGTCCAAGATGCATTATCTTGCACTTATCCACATTAAATGTCAGTTGCCACTACTCTGACCATTTTTCTGGTTTACCTAAATCATTTGCCATTTGGCTTATCCCTCCTGGAACATCAACCCTGTTACATATCTTAATATCATCAGCAAAAAGACATACCTTACCATCAAGACCTTCTGCAATATCACTAATAAAAATATTAAAGAGAATGGGTCCAAGTACAGATCCCTGTGGTACCCCACTGGTGACAAGGCCAAGCTTCGAATATATTCCATTAACTACAACCCTCTGTTGCCTGTCACTCAGCCACTGGCTTACCCATTCAACAATATTGGAATCCAAACTTAAAGATTGCAGTTTATTGATAAGCCTTCTATGTGCAACAGTGTCAAAAGCCTTACTGAAATCTAGGTAAGCAATGTCGACTGCACCACCCTGATCTATAATTTTAGTTACCCAATCAAAAAAATCAATAAAATTAGTTTAGCATGATCTCCCTGAAGTAAACCCATGTTGTCTTTGATCTTGAAATCCATGTGTTTTTAGATGTTCATCAATCCTATCCTTTAACATGGTTTCCATCACTTTCCCCACTACTGAAGTAAGGCTTACTGGCCTATAGTTGCCCATCCCATACCTTTCTTGTAAATGTAAGTACAACATTCGCTTAACTACCAATCTCTGGGACTACCCTGCTAACAATGAGATTGGTTAAATAAATTGTTAATGAGCTTTTGCAAGTACACCACTCAAGCTCTTTTAATAGCTTTGGGTGTATTCCATCAGGTCCCATTGACTTATTTGTCTTTACTTTTGACAGTTGAAATAGAACCTCTTCCTCTGTAAACTCACGTATAATAAATGACTCATTTATCCTCTTTCTTAACTGAGGTCCCTTTCCTTCATTTTCATCTGTAAATACCGAACAAAAATATTCATTAAGGCAGTCAGCTAGACCTTTATCCTCTTCTACATACCTTCCTTCGTTTGTTTTTAATCTAACTAATCCTTGTTTACTTTTCTTTTCTCATTTATGTATCTAAACAATGTTTTGTCCCCCCTTTTTACTGACTGTGCTATTTTCTCTTCTGTGTGTGATTTGGAAGCTCTTATAACTTGCTTAGGCTCTTTCTGCCTAATCTTATAGATCATTTTGTCTTCCTCACTCTGGGTTTTTTTTACAATTCCTAAATGCTAACTTTTAGTTTTTAACTATTTTGGCCACATCTGTGGAGTACCACAGTGGTTTCTTGAATTTTTTGCTTTTACTGACAAGCCTAATGCAATTTTCTGTTGCCTTCAATAGTGCAACTTTTAAATAATCCCATTTCTCTTGGACTCCATTTAAATTGCTCCAGTCTGATAATGACTCCTCTACCCATATTCTAATTTTAGAAAAGTCTGTTTTTCTAAAGTCTAAAACTTTTGCTTTTGTGTGGTGTGACTCAGTCACTGTTCTTATATTAAACCACACTGACTGATGATCACTGGATCCTAAACTTTCACCTACAGTAATATCTGATACCAAATCTCCATTTGTTAACACTAAATCTAGTATGGCCTCTTTACGAGTTGGCTCCTCAACAACTTGTTTTAGAGACAATCCCAGTAGGGAGTTTAAAATATGTGTGCTCCTGGAACAAGTAGCTAATTTTGTTTTTTCCAATTTACATCAGGAAGATTAAAGTCACCCATGATGATAACTTCCCTCTTCATTGTTATTTTAGCTATTTCCTCAACTAGTAGATTATCTAATTCTTCAATTTGTCCTGGGGGCCTATAAATCACACCTACACGAGTTACTGTGTGATTACCAAATTCTAATGTAGCCCAAACGGACTCTATGTTCGCCTCACTAACTTTTATTAGGCTAGATTTTATGCTATCCTTCACATACAAGGCCACCTTTTCTTGCCTTCCCTATCTTTCCTATATAAAGAGTACCCTGATATTGCTATGTCCCAGTCATTTTTCTCATTGTACCATGTCTCAGTAACAGCGACTAAATCTACACTATCAGTTGCCATTATTGCCACAAGTTCATGGATCTTATTCCCTAAACTGCGAGCATTTGTAGACATGACTCTAAGCTTATCATTTTTTAACACACTTGCTACAGGCACCTTCTGTCCTTGTTTTGGGGGACAATTGGATTGATGTTTTATCACCCTTTTGCCCCCCCTCCTAGTTTAAATACATCCTAGCAAAACCTATGAACTGCTCACTGAGAACATTTGTTCTCTTTTGAGAAAGATGCAAACCATCTTTTTTGTACAGCTTATCTCCATTCCAAACAGAGCTACCATGAGAAATAAAGCCAAATCCTTGCTCCCGACACCATTCACCAAGCCACAAATTAAAGTCCCTAATACGCATCCGCCTGTCGTTCTGAGTGTTATGCACAGGCAGAACTTCAGAGAATGACAGTGTGGAAGCAACCTGCCGTATATCATTGGCAAAAACACTAAAAACTTCCTTAACCTCTGAAACCTCATTGCAAGCCAAGTCATTTGTCCCTAGATGGACAAGTACATCCAATTCCCCTTCCTGCTTTGCTTGCTTAACAATATTACAGATACGTCTCCTGTCTCTGTGAGCAGTAGCTCCCGGAAGACACCTCACAAGACCACCATTGTCCATCTCCACACCTCTTATAATGGAATCCCCAACAACAACTGCTTTCTATTAGGCCTCACCATAGTCTCCAAGCCGGTCTCCACAACACCACTAGTCTCAGTGCCTCTCTCCACAACACAACTAGCCTCAGTGCCTCTCTCCACAACACCACTAGCCTCAGTGCCTCTCTCCACAACACCACTAGCCTCAGTGCCTCTCTCCACAATACCACTAGCCTCAGTGCCTCTCTCCACAATACCACTAGTCTCAGTGCCTCTCTCCACAACACCACTAGCCTCAATGCCTCTCTCCACAACACCATTACACTCTGAAAGTGCAGAAAATGAATTATGAAGAGCAACAGACTGTGCAAAATGCCTTTTATCCACAACTCTAAGTCTACCAGATCCTACAGTAATCCATCTGCCTTTCCTAGTTTGTAATCTGCACTTTTGTGCATATATCTAACCTACCTAACCTAGTGATCTACTATATACAGCAGAACCCCCAAGGTACCTCCAATCTAACCTAAAGGACTCTTGTTTGTCCTCTAAATAAATTAAATTACTTGAATTTTTTTAATACAAATTTTAAAAAAGAGCACTTGCTGCAGAGTACATTCACTGTGTGCAGTAAACTGTCACACACGCAGCCGTGCACAGCACAGAAGCAAATGCAGAAAAAAAAATCACATCTCTCAGTCTCAAATGAAAGGAAGCTGCTCTGTAAATGGCTTGGCTTGCCAGTCTGGCAAAATCAATGACAGAGCATGTCAAAGAACAGCCGTGATTACATATCAGCCAATACATCATTATCATAGATTTGATTCCCACCGACATAGGCTTATCCGAAGCCAATTAATATTGTTTAGAATAACAGAGATTAATTTTTTTTTATTTAAAATCGATAATGTACTTAGGGCTGCAATTATTGAAATCAGAAATAATTCAATGTCATCTGCCAAGTATATAATTCATAAAAATAACAAAATATCTTCATTTCTCAATCTTTATTCATACTAAATTATGTTTCATATATAAATATTTGATGTGAAATAAAAGCTTTTTTTTTTATATAATAATATATAACAAGTGTGGGTGCACTTAATATGAAAGAGGTAAATTATGGTTAAAAAGACATATAGGTCAAATTCTAGGTTTTGTTTTTGGTCAGAACTTGTACAATTGCCTCTGACATTAAGGGGTTAAGAAGATGATTGCCAAACAAAAAAAAACTCTCTTTCTATTCTGATTATTTGTTGCAATTTTTAAGCGCCTTCTCCGAATCAACAAATGAATGAACTGCATGAAATTGTGTCCATTATGCAATGCATTCATCATTTGATTTGTTCATTTAGCTATTCAGATATTTATTATTAAGACAAACAGTTGAATAGAATGTCCAAATATAAATGCACAAGTCTAATTTTTTTCTAAGTGTGAGAGATTGTGAATGCTTCTATGAAGATATAGTGTGTGAATATAAAGCAATTTAAGGTAGTATTATTTGCAATTCCTGTGTCTGTGTACATCTATATGTAAATGAGTGAGAAACATTGTGTATATCCCTGTGTGTGTGTGTGTGTGTGTGTGTGTATGTGTGTGTGTTTGTGTGTATGTGTTATTGTGTAGAATATAAAAGATCAAATAGAGAATTTTTTTTATTTTTTTGATCATTTTTCAAACTCTTATAATAAGGAGTAAAAACTAAATGTTACACTGGCTTAGCATATTATGATAGTCTGATGACTAGTATTGATAATATAGAATATATAGTTCTAAATCTAGTTTATTCCATATATTAACTTTAGTTCTTATGAACTGCTTTTACAAGAGACAGAGAATTTCGAATGGCAAGTTTGACATCATTATTTCTCAGACTGTATATAAAAGGGTTTAATAAAGGTGCAATAATTGTATACATAAGAGAGACCACTCTTTCCTGATACATTGCATATTTTGTGTTGGGTCTAAAATACATAATTATACTAGATCCATAAAATATGGAAATGACCATAAAGTGAGAAGAACAGGTTGACAATGCTTTATGTCTTCTGGAATGGATATTTAGAATTGATGAGATAATAAATGCATATGAAATAATTGTTAATGTCAATGAACCAACAACAACACCACCACCCACTATAAAAATAACAATCTGATTGATCCAGGTGTCTGTACAAGCCAGTTTCAGTAATGGAGGGACGTCACAGAAAAAATGATTGATCGTATGATCATTGCAGAATGGTAAATTGAACGTGAGGGTTGTGTGTGTGAGAGAGTTTACTGCACCAATAAGCCACGATCCACCTATAAGCTGAATACAAACTTTATTACTTATTATATTGCTATATAGGAGTGGGTGGCATATAGCGACATATCGATCATACGCCATAGCTGCAAGCATGTAGCACTCAGTACCACCAAGGAGAATAACACAATACATTTGTAGAGCACAGCTGTAAAAAGAGATGGTTTTATCCCCTATTAGAAGATTTGACAGCAGTTTGGGTACAGTGGAGGTCACATAGCATATTTCCAAAAAGGAGAAGTTTGACAGGAAAAGGTACATCGGGGTGTTGAGAATTGTAGTAATTATATATGCAAGAATGATAGACATGTTTCCAAGCACAGTAACTATATACATCAATAAAAACATTATAAACAGCAGTAACTGAAGATCTATAAACTCTGAGAATCCCACAAGAATGAATTCAGTTGTTATGGTATTATTTGTGCCATTCATTTTATAGCTTCAATCTGTTAATGAAGAAACATAAATATTGGTATGAGTTTTAGAATAACTATATTCTAAGTATATATATATATATATATATATATATATATATATATACATCATTGTATCTCTTTTTCTTTCTATTGAAACTGACATGCTTCATCAACTTATTGCATTTAATTACATATGTTTAAGTAATGTTTCCCCTCATTTTGTATAATGTATTAAAGTATTAAAGTTCAATTTGTAAAACCCTAAATGATTGCAAATTTGTATTTCCTTAACTGGACATTGGAGTTTTTTCAGGTTTGTTATATTAACAGAAACAAACACACACACACACACACACACACACATACAAATTGTGATCTGTTGGGAATTCAAAGTAAATTCAAAATTATTGTGAAATGTTGGGTATGTTTTAGGATTCACTATTTGTGCTGAAATTTGAGGTTGACGTTGAATTCAGTTTGAATTCTAACAATTCACACTTGCCATGTGCAAACATAAAAAATTAACCCCTTGTTCAAACTCCCAATACTCTTGGGTGTCAGCAATGACTATAGAATACATCAGCCCCAATACATACGATATAACCGAAAGAAAAGAGGTACGTACCTGCACACTATCCCAAATCCCCATGCACATTTAAGCTGGAGGTTTTTAGTATTACCCCAATAGCCATTCAAATGTAAGCTCACCTGCTACGTCAAGGCAAAACCACTTATATAAATTCTACAATAACAATTCAATTTGCTGCTTTCAGCTAAAAAGGTCAAATCTTTAATGAGAGAAAGAGTGTGATTTTTCTAACCCCCTACACATTTATTAACCCTTAGTAGGGAAGACATGGGATGGAAGGCAACACTGTAACGTGGCTGCGTAATAAAAAAGCAAATACATACATGCACTATTAAGTCCTGCGCTCAAACTCCCACTACTATTGGGCGGCAGCAATGAGTATAGTACACATCAGGCCAATACATACAAAAAAAAAGAAAAGAGTTACTTGCGCACTATCCCAAATCTCTATGCATATTTAAATAACTGGAGGTTTTTTAGCCTTAGACTTAGGTGAGTTCTACACTAACAATTCACCTTGCTATCTTCAGCTAAAAGGGAAAATCTCTAATTACACAAAGAGTATGCGAGAAAAGAATGTGCCTGTACTTTCATAAGAATATAGGTAAAGTAAAATAAATATAACTAAAGGGATTCTTAACAATAGCAAAAAGCTCAAGCCGTTCAGCTAAATCCATTTTGCAATTTCAATATCAACAAAAACATATATGTCAATCTTACCAAATCGTAAAATCAAGCTGCACAGTCAATTAAAAAATACAGTATTTACCTAGGTGTGAGCTGTTGAGTATTCCACAAAATAGTGCAAGTCAGTTTTCCCACTTGTTTATTTAAAAATGTTTAAGTTCAATTCAAGTACAAGGAATGAGGTAAGTCATCATGTCTTACTAGGTGCATGAATCCTGCTTGGTAGAGACATTCAAACACATTGGATTCTGATACTTGGAAATAATTTCTGGGTGATGCACATTGCATTTTAATAATTCTTAAGTTTCTCTTGGGGGTAAATCCCAAATGTTCCAGGCTAAACAAGTAAGATATTTTCTGCTTTCTTTTTATAACTTAGCAAAAGTGACATTTTAAATATCAATGCATATGACTCTTCATTAAGTACCTGTCAATACTTTATCAAGTATAAAACTTTACATTAATTAGTAGATTAAAAACAAACAAATAAATAAATAAATATATATATATATATATATATATATATATAAATGCAGTAAAATTGTCATTCCTGTAGAATGTGTCCATGTTCGACATTTGCCCATCTGGTCAAAATAAGACGTTTGCATGAAACGCTATGCATATGAGGCCAGTGTTAACTTTAATTGTGTTCGACTACAGGTAATGCAAGTGAGATATGAAAATAATATAATAAGATAATAAGCTGAAGTCATAAAATAAGACAAATGATAAGGGTTCTTAGCCTATTAACCTGCATATAGAGTGAGCCATCTATTCAGAGAGCTCTGACCAGCAAGTCTCACCTCCCACAAGACTTGCCTAGCGATATTTATGTATAAGTCTCATGAGAGAAAGACTTGGCACTCATGGTGGCCTGATTTGTTGGCTTACAAGCCAACCAACCAGAGTGCATTGAATGTCATTTTTTAAAGTGTGGGAAGACATTTATAAAGGCTTTTCTTGAGGCTACTTGAAAGAAAGTTACACATAAGTTGCCTCAGAGTCTAGTTCAATGTAAACTAAGTCTCTAATTTACTATATGCCTATATCCCCTCTTAGATAGTGGCTTCTATTGATATAGTAATGACTATTGGCATTCAAGAGAACCAATGTGTTCAAGTGTCATATTATTATTACTATTATTATTTATTTAGCACCAACAAATTTTGCAAGACTGTGTAATGGGTATATCCAAAAGAAACAATATTAATAACCCACAGATGAATAATCATGCCTCATTATGTGCTTATGTAGAATGGGGAAAGCTCACCCTACCAAAAGAATATAAATATAGCTAGCACAACTTAAGCAATTTGGAAGGAATTGTAAAGTCCATTGTATTAAATCATAAGTAAGAAGTGCAACATATCTATGGAATAGAAAAATGCAACAAAGTCAAAGATGCCATATTTATTTCTATGGCAAGCACAAAAAAGGAAATAACATTTACATTTTCAGCTACTCTTGGAATGTGTGGGGATTATGTTGGCTGGAGAGATGTTGGGATGCTGGTTTAGAGGGGATAACGCGTGCACAGTGAGTTGGGTTGCAGGGGTGCAAGGGGACTGGGTGACCGGGTGGCTTCTGAGGTTGAGGGCACCACCTGCTAGTGAGCTTCTTGTTTTGGTATGGGTGGTTAGGGGTCACAGGGATGGTTATATTACCATTGTATTTAGCTGAAATGGAATACACTGTGTGATTGGACTTCTTTGATTAGGATTATCCTCCATCTGGAGTATACACAGGAGATGGGGAAAACTGCTTGACCTCACTGCTTGTTTATAGTGCATACGTTAATAGGATACTGAGTGTTGTAATACCCAAGGCTGGGATAGTGTATATGGATTGTTGGGGATGGGGAGGAGGGACTGAGGAAGCTTAAAGGGAAATATTTAAATAAAGGGAAAGAGGTGGAAAAAATAAGAGGGGGTTTTGAATTTATTAATATATGACTGGAGCTTCTTTGGCCTCTGAGGTTTATTTGGGATCCTGAGTTGGTAGTGGTGTTCATTTTGGGGGGTTACACCATCTGTTATGTTTTTGCTAGCAACAATATATGAGCCCCACTGCACTTATGGTACTCTTACACAGACAGCTGAGTGGTCATCAACATATTTGTGACGCACAGACCCCTATTAGTGGATATGTTTATTGATTGCTGTTGCTGATTCCCCTCCCAGGTTAGGTTACTGATAGGTTTCACATCCCTTTATGTTGGCTTACCAATGAGGTGCAATTGGGTATTGTAACCCCGGCTGGTTCCCTTATTTACCACAATAACGTCTTAAAGCATAGAACTTAGTAGGGCTAACCATACAGATATCTTAGCCATAATATTATATAGTTAGTGTAAGAGATCCTATATTTAACATATATAATTAATTGAGAATACAATATAAAATAAGGATTGTCATGGAAGCAATAAAGTTTTGTCTTTTAGATATTTATTATATAAAAAATATAAACATAGACATATAAAATCCATTATAGCAGAGTTTATAAGATTAAACTAAATGCTTGCAAATATCAATAATAGGTTAACATACCCTTCTGAACATGTCATCATGTCAGCCTCTCTG